TACGCTTTGAGCAGCTTTCTTAACCTGTTACGTCATCCCGCTCGGCACATAAACAGTTAAATCGACTCTGTTGTTGTCTGAGAAGGACGGTGGACGGACGCAACGGGCTGAATGCGTTTTGTGTGTGAAAACAGGCTGGAGTGTGCAAGCTTTGTGGTTGTGTGTCCTTATTATTGACACCTTCTCTTTTCTCTCTCCCACGCAGGCTTACAGCTCCATCCTGGTTGCCATGGTGATCCTGCTCAACATTGGAGTGGCTATTTTGTTTATTCACTTTTTTATTTAAAGACAGCGCTGCTTTCAGAGTCAACCTACCTATGCTACAACAACTATAAATTCGAGTGTTTCGGCGATTCTGCTGCCCCTTCGCACCCCGGCTGAGGGAAGACCAGGACCAGGACCAGGACCAGGACCAGGACCTGAGGGAAGACCAGGACCTGGAGGAGGTCTGCCGTTACTCGGGCTAAGAGAGGCCAAAACCCAGGCCCGGCTCGGTCCTGTCGCCGTGGAAGATAGGCTGAAATACGAAGGCCAAAGAGGTGGAAACAAAGAGTGGTTAATGGTCCAGTTGACTGGACCACTGGGGGGTAATACGGTCCAGATCCTGGACTGAAGTGGACTGGAACAGGTCACATGAGGAGCCAAGTGGGCTGAACTGGTCCGGCTCCGGACAGCAGTAGTGCGGACAGGACTGACCAACTTTTTCATCTTCAGATCATAGTTTTCGAGAGATTTGTAACTTATTATTTATTTCTTAACATTTCCTCTCATGTACGGTATGTTGACGGCTTTCTTCTCTGTTTTGTAACCTTCACTCCTCTTTATAAAACTCCTGCCTTTTAGTTCCTCCACCAGCCCAGGTGTTGTTACTAATGGTTCACCATGTGTGTGTTTGTGTGGCGTCTCTGCACTCTGATGCCTCTCTTCTCATTCCTCATCTCTTGAGCAGACGTCATTGGAAAAAGAAAGTAAAACCTCCTTTTATTTGATGTTTTCTTGGCAAATAAAATGGGAGAAAAACACTCACCGGGTCTTAAAACGAGCTCAATACAACCTGAGATGAACAACAACACATGACATATTACAATCTGTTACTGTTTACTGCATTAAATCTGAAAAAGAAAACTGATAATGAGTGTCAGAAAGTAAGTCCCTTTACTGTTTCCACAAGATTTAAGGATTTGTCAAGGAGGACAGACACCAGAAGGACCGTCAGCCTGAAGGTTTAAGGCCGTTTAAAACTATCTGGAGTCCATCGGTCTGCAGGGAGGAAGACGGTTCACAGCTGGAAAACATCCAGGAGAGCTCAGCCCAAAGTCAGAGACCCAGCAGACACATCTGAGACTCAGCTAGCAGCTCAGAGGTCAAAGGTCAGGGCAGCCTGAGCAGGTTTGGTCTGTTTGGGCCGCGGGAGGATAAATAACATGGCGGCTCGGCTCAGGTCTGCAGAGCTGCATCTGAACAAAGCACAAGACTTCTGGAGCCAAGAGCAGGGCCGAGTGGAGCCGTTTGGTCCGAACGCACAGAAACCAAACAGCATATCAGCACAAGAGAGGCTTAGAGAGCTGTGCACAAACCAGACGGAGAGCAAAGAGGGACAAAACTCCCCTGAACCAGCAGAAAAACCTCCAGTCCAGCCTCCTGCTGCTGAAAGGGGGCCTCCAAAAACCTGCTGTAATGCGTCATGTGTTGCTCATCTGAACTGGTTCTTCCCTCTTTTTAAGACCTGCTGTTTTCTCCAGATAATGGGGGGAAAAAAGCCTCCCATTTGAAGGTCTTTTTGAACTTGGACTCCGTGTCTTTGAGTGGCCTCCGAGCGGCTCAGCGGAGCATCTCAGGAGGACAGAACCGATCCGGCCTCAGCCGCCAGCTGGGCTCTCCGTCCTCATCTCTCCATCATCATCTGTCCGCCCCCCTCCCCCCTCCGCCCGCCATTCCCCTCCATCCCAAATGCAGCTGCTCCTCCCAAAACTCCCCCCAAAAGACGGCCATGACACCTTTTATTCTACACCTGCAACATCGCTGAGAACAAACCAAACACAGAAGACACCACCGGTATTGCAATTTAGTGCCAGCTGCCCAGAAACAGCACCGGAGGAGGAGCCAGTGGGGTTTTGGGAGGAGCTAGTGGGGTTTTGGGAGGAGCCAGTGGGGTTTTGGGAGCAGCCTGTTGGGTTTTGGGAGGAGCCAGTGGGGTTTTGGGAGGAGCTAGTGGGGTTTTGGGAGGAGCCAGTGGGGTTTTGGGAGCAGCCTGTTGGGTTTTGGGAGGAGCCAGTGGGGTTTTGGGAGGAGCTGGTCGGGGTTTTGGGGGGAACTAGTGGGGTTTTGGGAGGAGCCTGTTGGGTTTTGGGAGGAGCCTGTTAGGTTTTGGGAGGAGCCTGTTGGGTTTTGGGAGGAGCCAGTGGGGTTTTGGGAGGACCTCCATCCCTCTGGGATGAAAGCATTCTGACTCCTGTCCCCCCCTCAGAGCTTTCCCTCTGAGTTGGTCTGCATGGTGAGAGCATGTCTGCCCACCCCCACCCCCCCTCCATCACCCCACCTGACCGGATCATTGGTAACAACTTCCAGGAGGGCGAGCTGTTGTTGTTGTTTTTATTTCTTTATCATGTTGTTTTCCTCTCGACGGCATTTCTTACACTGGGGAGCAGAAACGGGGCTGGTTTCTGGCGCCCCCCCGCCCGGAGCGGCCGCTCGGCCTCATGGCCCCGCAGCCGCCGGCTCCCGGACTGAGTCGGCCCTCAGAGGCTCTGGTCAGCCTGGAGAAGCCGCCCTGTTAGCCTGCAGCATGCTACAGCATGCCAGCTCGATAGTTTACTGCGTCCTCTTCTGTCTTTCTTTCTTTCTTTCTTTCTCTTTCCTTCCTTCTTTCCTTCCTTCTTTCTTTCTTTCTGGGAAATACTCTCCTTTTGTTTTTTGGTTGTGTGGAGACAATAATGAAAGTGTTTCAAAGAAAACTCCTGGCCTCCTGTGTTTTTCTTATTAGAAATCTCACCATCTGTCTGTCTGGGTGCAGTTTCGCTGCATCCCCCCCGCGGATGAGAGGGAGGAGCGCGGTTACTATAGCAACACCAACTTCGTTTCTCTCCTCAGGTGGCTCTTTGTGGGAGGGGCTTAGCGTTTGTTGTCTGATGAGGACCCGACGAGGCCGAAAGGAGATGAAGTCCTGAAAAATGGTTTTCTAGAGGGGAAGGAGGGAGGATGGTTTCTGAGAGCTGAGTCTGATCGAGTTGAACTCCTCTGGACTCATTTGTAGTCAGGGAAAATGTTTTTGGGGAAGCAAAATTCAGCAGAAGACATCTGGCGCCACCTTGTGTGAGTTTGTGGGAATCACAAACAGCAACAGGACAGGCTACAATTTTAAAAAGTTAGTTTTCTCTAATGCGAACACCTAAAAGTTTGTCTGTGCATATTTTCTCATGAAAAAAAACTAAACATAGTAGCATCCTGAGAGTTGCTTCAAACAAAATGGATTCCCTGTCACTTTTAAGGTTCTGTAAGTTTCTGAAACACTTGTGGATCGGATCAAATTTGACTTTAAAACAACTTTTGATGTTCAAATCTTTCTGGCAAGCAGCTTAAATTTTAGGTGAGTGCAGAGAAACGTTTTCTTCCTCTGCACAGTTATTCAAAATAAAGTTTGGAATCCCTGTTTCAAACCCTACGTGTACATTAATTCTTATTGCTGTGAAAGGGAGAAACATTTCATTTGCTGTGTACTGTGAAAAAGTCCTGGTCATGTCCTTATTCACGTTTTCTTCGGGCATCTTTCAGTAGTAAGTGGTCTTAAGCAACAGTTCTCCAGACTTTTTCTCTTTCACTCTTCTTGTAGCTCAGCATTTTCAGAGGAATGTGTTTTTCTGTAAAGCCTCTTAACTCTGACCTATGAATAATTTAACTCAAGGGATGAGCCAGTGCTGTGTCCAATCAGCAGAGCAGCAGTTTAAAGTGGATCTTTAGGCTCTTTGTCAGCAGCAGCCTGTCACAGAGACACATCATTTGTTCCATTTCTGTAGCTGATGGGAAAAAGGCCAGAGAAAACCCAGTCTGACAGACAGGAAACAGGATTTCTGAGGATTCCCAAAGAGCTGCTGGCTGAAAACTGGGCAGATCTCAGCCTGGTGTGTACGGACATCTTCGTGGTACCACACAAAACCACAACACCTCCCCTAAAGAGTTTGCTCCTGAACTCTAGAATGAACCTGCAAACATAGTTTAGCTTCCATGTTAAGCACTAACCCTTAAACTACCAAAAACTCAACTTTGTGCTCTATTTGTTTTAGACGTTTGAGTATCTAAAATTGAAGTATAACATCAAAATTGCTTCCACATTCACCGTTTTCACCTAAAAAGCAGTAATGGCAAATATCCACCGAAAAAAACATGGACAAAGTCAGTAATGTTAGAGATTAATAAACTAAACAAAACACAAACAGGGAAAGTTTTACCACACGTGAAAGCAAAAAGACCATACAAATGTTTCTTTTAGATCAATTTTGCATAGTCTATCGATTGGGAGAAATGTTAAGGGTTTCATAACGACGAATGTCTTAAAAACTCACACTGAACGCTTTTCTGGCGCTTTAAAGACACAACAACTCCGCCGAGATCCTTACGAAAACACGACAAAAGATGTGGAGCAGGAGGCCAGCGGAAACCCCCACGAGCCAATCACAGGAGAGCCCTTCCTGACAGACAGCTCCCTCAGCCAATCAGAGCAGAGCATTCTTTACGGCGCTCGTCTCGTTGCCAGAACTGGGAAAACGTAACACACAGCTGTTTTTTTCCCTCGCTGCTGGACTTGTGTCAGAAAACAGGGAGCCTTCGGGAACTACTTCCCTGTAGTTTGTCCACGAAAGGCGGAAAAAAGCCTCCGGGCTGAGTGCGACTGGTTTTTCCACCGCGGAGCCCGATGAGGTAATGCTCGGGAAACGTAGGAATGTCTTTCCCAGTTGTCTCTCCGCGCCGCTCCGGGCTGCGCGCGGCTCGTGCTTAAACTTTAACTGAATCCGCTCGCGCAAGTTCAAGGAGAGCACGATGACGGTGGAGCACGCGGGCCCACGGAGCGGAGCGGCTGCAGCCCGCGAGTGTCCGGGAGCCTGAGTGGGGGCTGCGCGTGCCGGTCCCGCGCGCGTGTCTCTGTGAGTGTGCAGCTGAGGAGTGTGTGTGTGTTTGTGTGTGTGTGTTTTGGTCTGCGGTCCGACCGGCGGAGCGGGACGCGGCGGAGCGGCTCCAGCCGGCCGCGCGCGCGCGCGCGGAGGCGAACGGCAGGAAACGCGCCCGTCCGGGCCACGCGCGCGCGAGCGAGGGCGCGCGAAGGGAGGACCTGGTGGGATCCCGGTCCGACAGAAGGCCCCGGCTGCCGCGGCTGGTCCGTCGACAGAAGAGGCGGCCGTCGGCGCCTTTCCGCGTGCGGCGTGAGGGCGGCCGCCGCGTGCGCATTTACGCACCGGCTCCCCACCAAAAGTTCACTGAAACTTTCTCCTGCGGCTCGGGTCCGCGCGGATGCGCGAGGATGGTGGAGAGCCGGAGCTGCGTGCAGCGGGAGGGGGTGTACCGCTGGTTCTCCTCGCTGTCCTCGGCCCAGAGGGCGGAGTTCCTGTGCGGGCTGCTGGACCTGTGCGTGCCCATCGAGCTGCGCTTCCTGGGCTCCTGCCTGGAGGACCTGGCCCGGAAGGACTACCGCTCGCTGCGGGACGCCGAGATCAAGGCCAACAACGCGGCCGACCTGTCGGGCCTCACCAACATCACGGACGAGGTGGTGCGCAGCAAGCTGCTGGTGTCGCTGGCGCTGCTGGGCTCGGACAGCCGGGAGGCGGCGGGCGTCCTGTACCGGACGCTGACGCACGCCGACGCCGTCATCAACAACTACGGGCTGGCGCTGAACGACGGGCGCACGGAGGAGCAGTTCCTGCTGCTCTTCACCATGGCCTCCAACCACCCGGCCTTCAGCTTCCACCAGAAGCAGGTGCTGAGGCAGCAGCTGGGCCAGATCCAGGACATCCTGCAGGTGAGTGGGGGGGCAGGGGGGCGGGGGGGGGTGATACCTGAGCAGAACAGTGTCCACCAGAAGCTTTAGTTGAGGGCAGGATTGTGTTTCTAACCCCCAAAGCCACAGCTTGGACTCAGATTGGAGAAGTTCTCGGAGGCTTTCAGAGGCTGCCTCGGTCTGAGGAAGTGAAAGCCGGACAGTGAACCGCTGACAGGCAAATTTCCATGGAGAACTACAGAACGTATTTTTCCAGAACAGAACGACTCGCTCAGAATCACAGCTGGGGCCTGTCGGTGCCTCTCAGCTGATAAATTCAGCAGAGAAACGACAGCGAGCTGGGTCGGACGGTTTTCTGGGATTTAATGATTGGGCTCACTTTGGTCGTTCGGCTGTACACTTTCCTCCTCTGAGGTTCTTAATGTCGCAGTCTGAGGGTCTGCACGGCTCTCTGATGCCCTGACCTTTGACCTCTGAGCGGCTAGATGAGTCTCAGATGTGTCTGCTGGGTCTCTGTCCTTTGGTTGGGACGTCCACTCCTGTCCTGGATGTTTTCCAGCTGTGAATCGTCTTCCTTTCTGCAGACCGATGGACTCCAGATCGTTTTAAACGGCTTTAAACCTTCAGCCTGACGGTCCTTCTGGTGCTAAAACACCTGAAAAACTTTCCACTAAAACCTTGGAGCTAAAACCGATGAATGATAAACCGGGTTGAGCGAGCAGCGATTGTTTGTCACTTCCCCTGAGATCTGGAGGTGTTTCCCTCTCAGAAAAAGTGACTGTGGAAAGCTTTTTCCCTTTCCTGTTTTCCTGTTTTTGCCGGGTTTAAAGCCCCCACCTGCATGTGGCAGGTGGTCAGCTGCTGCCCTCTCCTCCGTCCAGCCGCCACTCCCGAAGCCCAGAGGACAGAAAAACAGTTTACCTGCACTTAAAAAGTTCCTTCCGCTGTGGAGATCTAAAAAGAGGCTTCGGCCGGAGCGATTTAAGCTAAAAACAAGCACTTCTGGGCAGCTTTTGTTCATATCTGACCAATCAAACTTCTGCCTCAAATAGAGAAATATTCTTTGTTTTGACTCGACTTGCAGCGGCTTGCAGGAACATGGATGTTCAGAGGTGCTCTTTGAGGTTATTGGCACTTATTCATGTAAAAACAACAAAGCGGGTGGCCTCCTTTCACAGACAAATCTGAGCTCCAAAGTTAAAGAAAGAGGAGCATTAAATGAGATGAGCTGTTAAACCCTTCTCTGAAATGCACCAACAAGTCAAAATTTGAAGCCCCAGAGGTTATTCAGGGGTCTCCTGCCCAAAGAAAATGTGTTTCCTTTGAATCTAAACTATGTTTTTTTACCATATTGAAGCTTAAACTGTGAGACGTCATCACAGGTTGAAGCATCACAGCAGCTGTCAATGTGTCAAAGTGAATTTGGACCGAAATACGACCAAAAACAACACGAGTCGGCATCTTTTTTACATTTTCTGGGATTGTTTCTGGCAGCAGTTGCGTCTCCTGGAGAGAGAAGTGGATTTAGAGAGTTTTTTTTTTTTATGAAAAAGGCAGGTGTCACAGCCCAAGAACCAGGAAGTTCCCTTCAGGGGCCGTTTGAGGGTTAAAATAAACAAACTAAACTGTCAGAGTCTTTACTCGCCTGCTTAATTAAACTTTCACCCCCTTAATGCCCTGTTTGATGGCACACGTGTGCAGTAACACACACCAATGACTGGGACACAGTTTATAGCTGAGGGTGCCAGGATTGGCTATAAAAGGAGCTTCCACCAGAGGTCTGTGAAATACGAGGAAATATTGAGGGAGTTCTGGAAAAGCCCAGGATGGAAACACCACACAGTCCACCTGAGAATCCAGAAATGGGACCTGAAGCTGTTTTTCCATTATAGAGGAAGCAGACAGTCAGCTGTGATGTCATCTCAGGTGGACGGAAACACTGTGGGCCGTGTCCTAGTGGGCTCAGCTGCTCCGGGTCTGTGATGGTGATGATCATTCCTACACAGAGTGTGTGAAAATGTGCTCAACTGATGGAGGAGGAGATTCAGACAGCAACAACCATCTGCTGAGCAGCTAATTCAGCTGGAAAAACAGTTAGCATCCGCAACTCAAAGTTATCAAAAAGTGCCATTAAAACACTTTAAACTCACTTTAAAAGTTTTTTTTTTAACATTTACAGGTTCATAGAATGATATAAATAAATAAAAATGTCATTTAACTTGTTGATTAACTCATTGACTGCCAGCCATTTTCAGAACAGAGAGTCGCTCACTGCCAGAGTTTTTTGAGAATTTTGACAGATTTTTCAAGAGCCACAGAATAGTTTGTGCTTTGACTATGTAAACACCAAACACACCAAAAGAAAGAGGAGACTCTCTTCTATCATCAGGAAAAATAAATTTGTTTCTACCTTATTCCGTTCTTCTTCGACGTGCGTCTCACCGGCGCCATTTCTCTCATAGCGAACCATTGCGTTTGTTTTTATTTGCTTACAATCTATGCTAATCTCCCATCAAAAGTGGCACAGCTACCTAGAGGGTAAATTTGTTACTACATACTCTGTCTAGAAGCCGATATTTACGGAAAAACTTTCGCCGATCGTCCCCCAAGTCACTCGCAATTGAAAAACATAAAAGACGTCTATAGACGTCTTTGGCAGCGAACGGTCGGATTTGAAAAGACGTCTATAGACGTCTTTGGCAGCGAATGAGTTAAAGGTTCAAACGTGATGTGTTGATGCCAAATAGATCATTTAAAAGGCCAGTGAGGCAGCTGCTTTGTGTCCAACAGCCTCAGACTTCAGCCACAAACAACCCAAATGTCCGTGGTGTGAAAAGACGGGTTCCAGCTGCTGTTCGTGTCCAGATGTGGCCTTGTTGTGATGACACAAAGAGAGGAAGAGGAGGAGGGGGGGGGGGTTTCCACGGCGTGCAGGAAGCCGAGCGGCTCCTTAACTGTGGAGCGTTTGGGGGCTTTTTCAGCCCCCAAAAAACCAGACGAAAGGAACGACGTGAACAAAAGGCTTCGAGACGGAGTCGAGTCCTTTCTTTTCGCCTGAGTTTGAGTCTGGGCTCTGCAGCCGTCCCCTCAGAAACAGACAGACTGGCTGTGAAGGGAAAGTACCCGCTCAGAGAGCAGCGTTTGTACTCAGTGTTTTGTTGCCCTTGGCTGCTGCTTAGTGCAGGTCAGCACATTTCTGCATGCTGAAATCAACCCTCTGCGGTGAGTGAGTGTGTGTGTGTGTGTTTGTGTGAGTGTGTGTGTGCGTCTCCAGTGAATCCCCAGGAAGTTATGAAGGCTCTCTCCTGCTGGCTTCGGCCGTCTTTCCCTCTGAAAAGAGCAGCCGCTTCACACAGGCTGCAGAAGGGCGGCGAGGGCTAGCCGTTGTTAGCCCCATTCTTTAGTTGGAGGGCTGAGAATAAACCAGAGTAGATCAACAGTATAAATATGACATTTATCGGTCACAAGCAGAGTAAATCAGCACTGGGCTCTCACAGACAAAGCTACCGGAGGATCTCAGTCTGCAAAGAGCTCCAAAATCCAGGTGTGATGGACATTTATCTTCTGGGCTGGACCCCGTACAGGAGGAAGTTATCGTCCAGTTAGCTCTGGTGCGCTAAATGCGACGCTTTCTTTAAGATTTAAATCTGCTATTCTACTGTCCAATGATTCAGTTTGATAAGTTATATTCATGCCCATTCATAAAAAGTTAGCTTTTATTGAAGGAGTCTTTCAAACACTTGTAAAAACTTGTAAAAACCCAAAGAGAAGCAGCTAAACGCTCCTTTTCCTCTCAGAATAACCTTAAACTTATTCTCTTTTGGTCCTGATAACAGCTTCAATACCTCCTCTGGTTGTTTTTTTTTTGGGGGGGGGAGGCGTCTTTTAAGCTGTGTAGCTCAAAGTTGGGATATTTTTTTACTCTGTCTCTGCTTTACTAATATATTAATGATCTAAAGTACAGTAATCCTAAGGGGTTATTTAAAATGCAGTCAAATAAATGGTGCCACAAAACGGTGAATTAAAGTAAATCCCGCTGAAGTAAAGCAGACAGACCGAGTGCTGCCTGTCCAGGTTGTTTCCCTCATCAATCTGAGGGAAACTTTTTTTTAAAAACCCTAACGCAAAACATCTGGACGACTGGAGAAGAAGTGCGTCTGGCTGGTTTAAAGGTCCAAAAAGAACCCTGAGGCTGCGTACTGTATCCCAAAAACAGGGAGCAAACACAGAAACGCGTTTTCAAATGGGTATTGCAGCTACGGTAGCCGTCAGGCATCAAAAAGTAATGTCAACTTGACTTCCACATAATGGAGTTTTTTGTGATGAGTTTTGTAATAAAAAAAAAGAAGAAAAACAGCATTTAGTCATTAGTGTGAGCATGTAATTACTCCTCCAACAAGGCAGCGAATTACGTTGCCATGTTAGTTTGTTTTTTGTTTGTAGCTTAGAATTATTAGCCTTTGTCGTAGCTAGCGTTAGCTAACAACTTGACGCAAATAAAATACTACACAGTGTCCCTTTAACTGCCCTCAGACCGGCTGCCTGGACGGTTTCAGGCTCCGGCACACGTGACTTTTCGCAGTGAAGATGAGGAAACCAGCACACTCACGTCCCCAAAGGGATGTTTTGAGTTTAGTCCTCATGAGTCCGCAGTTTCTTCCAGGATAATCGTGAATCCAGAAGCTGCTTGAGTGACTCATTTAGTGAGAAAATGACTTTTTCCATATGAAAAAGTCATTCCTTTTATTTTATTTTATCCTATGACTACTTTTGGAGTGTTCTCTGCTGTCATTGTAAGTTTCTGTAATTATTTTGAGTTGAAGATTACTACAGATGTCGACTCGAGTTTAATTAAACTTTACTTCAACTTCCACAATTTCCACTTCACTTGGTAAGAAAGAAAGAAAGAAAGAAAGAAAGAAAAGAAAAGAAAGAAAGAAAAAAACCAAAAGATTGTCCCGAATCCTCCCTTTGACCCATCCTGAGCATGCAAAAGGGGACTGTGGGAAGAAAAAACTCCCTTTAAGGGGAAGAAACCAGAGGAAAGAGAGCAGAGGGAGGAGAGTGGTGGGGGGGGGGGGGGCAGCTTCGTGAAGGCTCTGTGAAGGAGCTGCTCCCTCAGATAACAAATAGACTATCGTGTTCATTCTTTTGTTAATTCTAAACCGACCTAGTTGTGTTTTTGTTCCTTGATGAAGCCGATTCAAGCACAAAGTCTTTCGGCAAACGTGGACACCAGCCAGCAAACAGCTGAACAGAGTCGAGCCTGTTCAGCTCCATCCAGAGAAGCTTTTCAAGCCGGGACTGAGCAGCATGTTGTGACAGATCCATATGTTGGAGGGCTTTAGAAACCCAGCCAACAACAAGAAGCCGCTGGTCTCTGTGGAGTGTGCGAGGACGAGTGTTTGTCTCTTTTGTATTTACAGTGTGTGCGGTATGAGGAGGGAAAACAGGGCAGAATACACTAAAAAAGGAAAAAAAGGCTTAAAATCACCAAAAATGTACCAATAAAGCAAAAACGAGGCTACAAATGAACAAAAAATACAACTAAAAGTCAATAATAAGGCTTAAAATGACCAACTATACACCAGAAAAGCAAAAAAAGGTAAAAAGGACGAGAACAAAGCCAAAAGAGCCTAACGTGAAGGTACGAAGAAGAAAGCAGAGCCAAATAAAGCTGAATGGAGCTAACCAACAGCACCCGCTCTGATGGAGGGATGGATCCTCCCCAAAAAGCAGCAGCAGCATTCAGAGCAGAGCTTTGGGATGTCCTTCAAGAAGCTGGAAAGCTGGAAAGGAGACTCTTTAAAGAAAGGAGCTGCTGGAGAGGCTTCCATAATTAGCTCGTTCCTGTTTTGTTCTCATCCATTAAGCTTTTATTCAAATTCTGAGCTTTTTCTTTCCTCCATCCATTCATCTCCTTTGTCTTTTTAAACATTTTCCTCCAAAATATCCAACTATAAACCAATTAAGTTGGTTTTATCTACTCTTTGTACTCAACTGTGTATCTTTTCTCATTGCTTTTGGGCAAAAAAAAGGGTTTAATAATGTGGGAAACCTGGTTAAACATTGGAAGGAGAAACAAGGTCAGCCTCACCTTGTCTGTTCTCCCACATCTTCTGCACATGTTCTTGTTTTTTTGCTTCATTTGCTGTTCAGCAGAAGCTCCACCTCCCATCGCCTAAACATGGGAATTTTCCAACATCCGAAATGAAATTTGATCAAATATTTGACTTGACACCCAAAGTAAATTTCCAACATACAACATCGAAGTCATAGAAAATAAATCAAATATCAAAATTGAATAAAAAAATAAATAAGCTAAGTTAGTTTAAAGTTTACGTAGTGAAAGTTAGAGTAAGTTAGGGTTCGTCCTGTATCTCAGTCTCTACCTGCCAATGAAAAACCTTTTTATTGATTATTTCTTATTTCTAATGCATTAGTTTTATTTCTATGTGTAATTATCTGCAGTATTTATTAAGGAGTTATTGTAGGTTTTTGGGCTGTGGAACGAATTAAACCAATTACTGTGTATTCTGATGGAAATATCTGAACCAACATACGAATTCTTACATAGGAAGTAGGTCCTGGAACCAGTTAAATTCCATTATAGAGGTTCTGCTGTATGTCCATCCATGTTTTTCTCAATAAATCCTGCAGCAGGATTCTGTGCATCAGAAAACCGGTCTGAGCTCTGGAGGGTCTGACTTTCCCTTTTTTCCTTCCTGCAGAGCCAGATCCGGGAGGCGGAGCCGGCCCCGGACCAGCCGGGCCCCCGACCCCCAGCTGCCCCCCCCGGATCCCCCCAGCCAGAGCCGGCCGGGGGGGGCAGGTCCAGGTGAGCCCCCAGCCCCGCCGCCGCGCCGGGGCCGTGCCAGCAAGACGCGGCATGAGCCTGAAGAATGCTGCCCCCCGGCCGTCCGTGCACGAGGGAGCCGTGCACAGACCTGAAGCCATAAAACAAGTCGCTGCCATAAGTTTGAATGCTTTGAAAGGTTAAAGCAACAAACTCAAAACTGCCTAAAGAGGGATTTAAACAAAGGCCTAGCAAAACATGCATGCTAGCATACAAGCTAGCTAAAAAATAAATAAAATTATTCTAATTGAAGCAATAAAACAGGGAGCACTGCAGATATTTATCAGGCTGTTGTCTCTTTAAGTGAGAACAGTTTGATTAGCCATTAGCAGCTTGTTGTGTTCACACACAAACACACACACACGCACGCACACACAGAGGACTACGGGTGTTAGCCTTAGTGTTAGCTTAGAAAAAGATGAAACATGCCGGATCAGCAGGAATGAAGCAAAAGACTATAGAAGAATAAAAAGATTATAGATAAAAGAACCAAAGAATACACATTAAAACAAACAAAAGTTGAAGTTTTTCTTTTTCTTGGATTATTTTTGGCACTAGTCTAGTTTCATAGTCTTTACCAAAAAGTTTGAAGCCCCTAAAAAACCACTAGAGCTTCACATTGTATCAAAACCTCACGTTTGACATCCAACACTTGGATTTAAACGCATGTTTTGTCTTAGTTTCCATCCACTCTATCAGATCTCAGCTCTTGCTGGTATTTCCTAACAAAGGCCCCACACAGTTTTAGCCTGTAAACAAGTGCGGTTCCGTTTGGATGGAGATTAGTTTTATTTACACTTCATTATCCTTTTTTATGTTCAGAAAACATTTGTGGAGTTTGCTGGGAAGAAACACGTCAAATGGGGTGACTGATGACTCATTTCTTTGGAAAATGACCTGTTTCATGAAGTCAACACTTAAATTAACTTTACTCAACTATTTGTGCCAGTTTGACCTAATTAGTTTGTTGTATGAATTAATTATACAGATTCATTCTTTTTTTCATTTAAATTTGTCCACTTAATGCTGAGAATGGCAGCGTTCTCTCTTCAAAGTTGGTCAATGGGCTAAATGTGTTATTTGTTACCGTCGCTGCCTTTAAAAACACATTAATATGCCAGAGCACACTGGTGGAGACAGGAAAATCATAGCTAGCATCTTTCTGTGATCATTAATCAGAGCTGGGGGCTCTGAGAGCTGGGCAGAGGGCTGGCAGATGTGGACAGATGTGTTGGCTCCCTGCTCTGGAAGCAGCCCGCTCTCCGTTGGTTTAACTAACTCCTCATGTTAGAAATGTAGCAGGAAGTCCCCAAAACAAAACATGTTACTGGCAAAGATGAGAGGGCTTTTACTCAGTGTGAGAAAGAGGGAAGTTTCGTAAAGGACTCACTGGAGAAAAATCCCCAGAAAAAGAAAATCGATCATACATATATTGATTTCCATCACAACGATAAGAAAAAAACACTTTCTGTGGGGTGATGGTGATTTAGAGGGGTCTAAAGAGCCGGAAAATGTGCAGCTCACACTTAACCAGTTGTGTAATTTTCGCATTTTATTGCTGGTTTTGTTATCAGTTTGTTGACGTGCGGCTGGCTGCTGAGTCAGGATGTTCTTAAGGGGTTTATGGTGGAATAAAAACATCTGAACACGCTCCTGAGCACAGAAACGCACACCTCCAGTTTCCAAACACGCGGTGAGTCACCGCTTTGTGGCCTCAGGCCTAGCTAAACATGCTAACTACCGCACAAGCTAGCAGCACGAGGTTCAGCGGGTTCAGTTTATCTCTGAAAGCGGGAACCAAAGGTCTGAGTCTGCAGCCCGGATTTTATGATTACTCTCCAGGGTTTTGCCCGACAAATTAACTTCACTTTGTGGCCTTTTCAGTCCTCTGGTTGAATGACTGGAGTCTGAATCAAACGATGGGAATTAGCCAAAACGTTTGACAGATTTAACTTGATTTTTGTGAGGATTTGCTCAAAAGGTCCAGCTTAGGCTCACTGCCCTGTCCCTCAAACACTGAAACTCCTCCAGATTTATTAAATACTCTAATGATAGGATTTGATATCTTACACGTTTGTGGACAAACCGGAGATCCCGAGCTCCAAAACAGCTGTTGAAATCGCCTGTTTGCAGCCACATTTTGAACCTAATCAATGGTCCTTATAGCCTCAGTCTCAGCTTTATTTCGGATCTGGTGCAGGCCACACAAAAACAAATGGATAACAACAAAACAACTGAAATGAGAACTTGAAACCAGGAATATGTAGGTTAAAAACTAATGTATATGATGAAAATGTTGTTAATTATTGGAGGAAAAGCTAAAAATGGGGAGTTTTCAGGCTGTTAGTGTCCTCTGTGGAACAAATCCCCTCCTTTTAGGAGGTTTTTAATGACTTAGAGGAGGACAAAAACCTAAAAACACAACAGGGCCTGTTTAAATTGGACCAAAACCGACACTCTGGCGTCTCCTTTAGCAATGACAGCATTTCCTTTATCCCCCTGGTGCTTGTGTCTTCATGTCTGAACCATTTGTGACTCGACTTGTGGGATGAGAGGAGGCTGACCTGGAACCTGGACCTGGATTCACAGGAACCCAAGGAGAAGGATAGTGACCTCTGACCTATCCGTGGAGATGTCACAGTTCTCCTTTGACTCTGCCCTAACAGGATTTAGGATGTTTTGAGGCCCATTTGAGTCCCCTCTGGCCTTTTGGGCTCGCCGGACAGATGGGATCGATGCTTAAAAGCAGCTGTTTAAGTTAAAGGGAAGTTGTTTAGTATTTTAAGTATTTTATTAGCTAAAATAATTTTCTTCCTTTATAAATGTGCCCTCATTTAGTGTAAAATGATCTGACTTCTCCTCATAAGGGAAGAATTTTCCTATCTGTATAAACACAGGACGGGTAAGTCCACATAGGTTTCCATGGCGTTCCACCATTTTGAAAAAATATAACGGCAGAGAGGGACATAAAGCACTAGTCTGCCTGTCTATCTAATCCACAACGCGTTTTCCTTCAGAGTCACGTGACTGAAACCAGCTCTAATAAGTGTAACAAGAGTAATTACATGCTCACACTAATGATTCAATTTAGTTTGTCTTTTCTTTAAAATAAATAATTTAGTCCTTTTTGTGGTCAGTTTGTGCGTTTCTGTTATAATTTAGTCCTTTTTGTGGTCAGTTTTTATGCATTTCTGGTCAAGTTTAGACCTTTTTGTGGTCAGTTTGTGTGCTTTTGGTCTAATTTAGTCCTTTTTGTGTTCAGTTTGTGCGTTTCCTCTCCTAAACGTGAGCTGTTTTCTTTCAGGGGGGGTCGAGCGGGTGCTGCTGCGAGCGGTGACGCACAAGTCAGAGGACGCCTGTGAGTTTGTGTTCGAGGTGAGCCGGTCGGACGGCTCGGTGTCGGCGGCCGTCAGGACCCAGCAGGAGGTGTCGGAGCTCCTGACCCAGGTGGGTCCGGCCTTTTGGATTAATACGAATACTTTTTTATTTAACTCTGTAACATTTTTAATCTGAAGTTTGTTTATTTTAGCCAAACGGGAAGCAATAAACAAATACATTTAATGTATGTGAATTTTTTAAAATCAAATTGAATCAATATTTTTAGCATAATTTTTTCTATTAACAATTATATTAATTATTAATTAATAATTATATTGAACAATTATATTAAAAGACGCTTCCCAAATCACACAGAATTTACCATTTTTAAGTGGAATACATCAACAGATTTATAAATGATCAAGTCCCTTTCCCTTCCTATTTGGAAAGAAATGTATTTCTAATCTATGAAACCTGTTGAACGCATTTCAAAGCTGCCCACACATGCAGGTTTTCATTTGTGTACAAAGCTCAGTGTCATCTGCATAGAGGAGGCGCTTTCGATCTAATTCATGTGGAATGTGTCTCTGGAAGCTGTCGCAGGTGTTTCCAGACGAGGGCCTGGAGAAGTTCCTGCCTCAGTCCCCAGAGGGGGGCCCAAGGTGAGTCCCAGAACCACCTGACCTCACCTGGCCAGGCACCGTTTCTATTGGCCGGAGACTAAAAGTGGAGGGATGATTCCCATTTTAAGACTCTGGCTAATCATCAACCCTTCTTAAGCAGTTAGATGTGTTAAAAGGCCAGATATTTATTTATCTATGAGAGTGAAGACCCTTTAAATGTGATAAATAGTGCAGTAGAAAATTGAATACAAACACCTGAATAACATGACAGTTGACTATGAATAAAAGGGCGTCCAGGATATTTAATACACCCCCTGGTGGTTGGGAGGGAAACTTCAGCCCCTGCTGTTATTTTAGCTGAACTTTAGTGGTTTTTACTTTTTTTATGGAAGAGAATCGCTGAAGAAATCCTGGGAAAGTGAGTAAATATTTAGCTTTGGAGGCTAAATGTGCAGAAATGAGGGCTGGATTGAAATTTTTGCAAAGGACTCTGTTTGCTAGCTTTGAATTTGGCGATAAAAACCCATTTGGAGGTTAATTTCTCTGCTTTTCGGGACTGAAACATGTGGGCTTGAGGAGGATTTTTGTTCATTTCCCATTAGAGAGTTCTGGATATGTTGTTTTGTCTCTGCCCTCTACCAGGTGTCCTGCAGCCCTACCCAGCCACGTCCTCCAGCACCAAAGCCTCCAGCTGTTCTTCACCCCCAGCAGGCCCCTGTCGCCCAGTTGTCCCTCATCCTCCTCCTCTTCCTCCTCGTCTTCCTCCTCCTCCTCCTCCTCCTCCTCCTCCAGCATCCCACACACACAGTCCTCGCTTCCCAGCTCTCCTGTAGCCTCCACCTGCCCGTCCACCTCCAGCTCCAGTAAGTCTCTTGTTGTTTAGGGGATTTGATATTTTACTAGATAGATAGATAGATAGATAGATAGATAGATAGATAGATAGATAG